TGCATGAAAACAAATACATACCAACATTAATACCAACGAATCCAAAAATATTATTTAACTAGTGGTGTATGGCATCGTGCTTTGAGGCAAATTGCTGGCACTTCTCGTACCAAAACATTTTTCTTCAAAAATTAAAAAAAGAAATCATATAAAAAACATTTTTTCCCAAAAATAATTATTTTGTCAATACAGGCAGAAAGTTTTTTGAATCATTCAAATCGGATGCATTTTTCCCTCAGCTGCAAGTATTAGAAAAATGGATGTGTGTGTATGTATGGATACAATTTTTTGTACATTTTGCTCTGTATCTCCAAAACGGCAGGAATTGCCTTTGCCAAAAACTAATCACCACATCTCCCCATCATTACAAATTGAATGTTTTTTAGATCATTCGAATCGGATGCTTTGTTTTCTCAAAAACTCGATTTCTATTTCTAAAACAGCTCGCTATCAATAGGAATCGAATGTTTTTCTAACCATTCAAATCGGTTGATCCGTGCGCCCGTAAACGTGGACAAAAATGGACACATCAATTTTTTCTAAAGTATGCCAAAATGTTCAGAAACCTTCAAAACGTGAAGACGAGCAAAATTTTTCAATTTCGATTTTTGGACAATTACAATAACATCATTTTTGTTCTTTACTGTGTCTTATATTGTAGACACTAGTCAAATTTTTTAAGTAGCTCTTTTAACAAAATAGTTATAAATAATTAAATGTGAATTAAGCTTTTTTATTTTGTTTGCACAGCTTTTATAAATAAGTATTTTATTTCAGATCGTCTGATCCTGTGAAACATGAGGTTGTATGTTACTATTTAAATTTTCTTCCATTTCTGTTTAGATATAATAAGTCGAACTAATTTTTTCACACACATAATTATTTGCCATTTATCATTTGAGATTAGTAACATTTTTTAACTGTTGAGCAACTGAATATCGCCGCATATTCTGAATAAGACATTAAATTTCATTATTGGAAATTACAAAATATAAAACCAACGGTTACAGGCAAATCAGAATTATATTAGATCTTCTTAGTTTCATGAATTTAAAGAAAAAAATCATTTATTTCAAATTTTAGAGTTGTTCTTGAACCTTTAATTTTGAATTAAATGTGAGTAAAGCTCGTTCACTAGTTTTGTAGAGGTTTAACAATTGCATTTTGACAGCAAATTCATTAATTTTAATATTTTGTTCATTGAAAATTAAATCTTCAAATTGCACAACCGTAATAAAAAAGACATGTAAGAAGGACATTCGATACTACATGATGTAGTAGATTGCATATATAGAATTAAAAGTTTTTTAAAGGCCATTTCAAACGTATGATAAAACGCCAACTAAATTTTAGATGAAGAAGAAGACATAAATATCAATATCAATATTTTTCACTGACGTTTATCATATACATTAAAATTATCTCTTTTCTTATGATCTATTCATATCTACATGGTTTAAAAAGGTATCACAATGGTGGCAGCTGAAAGGATATAAATAAACAAATTTGAAGCATTTCTTATAAAAATCTTATTTTTAGCAAAAATGTTCCTTTCTCTTCAAAAATATATGAACGAATGCAAGTTTGTGCAATCAAATTTCTATACTTTTCATCTTGCGCAAAATTTAAAAGGTCTTATTGCGATAAATACGTAAATCACTAATCTAATTGATGCTTAGTTGCATATCGACGTTTGGCATTAATTATATATTTTGAAACTTTTCAAAAGTAATGAAGATAATATTATGAAGGTAACATAAATCAGTAATTAATTTATCATTAGATCAATAACTCAAAATATGACATTTAAAACTAAAGCAGTCAACATGGACGGATATTTTACAACGGTCTCTATATTTTTGCTTCTATTTAGGTTAAATTAAATTTTTGTTGAATACCTTTTTAGTAGTAATAATTTTAACGTATAATTAATGCTATAAGTAAATAAAATTGAATACATTACCAAAATAATATTATTTTCTCTTCTGATTATATAAATTATCAGTATTTTAATTTATTATGTTTTATTAATTATTAATAAGAATTATAGATGAATTTTTTTAGTATTTACATAATATTGCAAATAGTTATTAAATTTAAAAATTTTAAAAAGAAATTAGAAATAAAACTTTCTTTAGTAAAAAATATAAAAAACATACTTGGAACTATCTGAGGTTACGTTCTTATCTTAATCTTTTAATGCTAAAAGTTGTCATCTGTTCGAATTTATTTAAAATTTTCATAGATAAAAGGACAAAGTCAAGTGTTTTTCCATTTTTTAATTTAAGATGTAAAATAAGTAAAAATGTAAAATATGTAAAAAATGTAAAATAAGCCCAAACATAATTGACTTAAACATGGTGAAAAATAATAAATCTAATAGAAATTCACACTTTTGAACTATACATTCAACAAAAAAAAAATTAAAGTATTTTTTTAAGAACCAAAGATTTACAATATCCATATTTTAAATTAATTCTTTGATGAAGTCATCATATGAATCGCGTTTCAATGGAAACACTTTCCTTTATTTTCTATTGTATTTTAATCAAAATTATCTAATGTTACTAGGTGTTGTAATAAAAATTGAAATTCAAAAAAATCTTTGATAAATCATTCATCTAGATAAAAATTTTAAAAACCTATCTTAGCATAATTTGTTAAATTTTGTCAAAATTGTATAAATAAATTTATTGTTTCTTATTACCAGAGTTTAGTATTATAGTTATTTCTTGTGAAAACTTTATTAATACAATCTTCTATTTAAATGTAGTGAGAATTTGCGATATAACCCATTAATTCTAATTTATGATAGATGTATCACTTTTGTTATTATTTTAAGCAATTGACATGTGGGAACTGCAAAAATAGGCACTGATTCAATTATATATATCATACAAATTCAAACAAATAACAATAAGAGTAATTAGAATATAAAAATGCTCATAATGCATTAAAAAATATACATTTGGTTCCCACAATATATCACTTTAGTTATTAGAAATAACGCCGCGTAATCACTATTATTTGTTTGTATCAACTTATAATGTGATTAAGATTTAGATTTAGTAAAATTAGAAAATGAAACATAGAAGTATTGAGGAAAATTACAAATGTATCAAACTTCTAAAAGGTATTATTATATTATAAAGATTTTTTTGCTTTTTTTATTATATTCACCAATTTCTCCTTGAAAATCAGCAAATTTTTGGTCGCATCCATTGATTGGGCGTTCGGATATGAATATTATAAAGATATTGTTATAAATTACGGTTTATTTAATATTATTTGTTTTAGTATTATATAAATTATAGTTATAAAATTTTCATTAATTTATTGTATCACTGATAACATTAATCAAACGTACCGAACATATAAAACATTAAGTTAAAATATATTGAAGCAATCATAATAACCAAATCATAAAAATATTAATATTTACTGTAATTAAATATTATAAAATGCATAATTATAATAGATCGGCCACGTGCCAAACGAAATTTCATTTTAAAACAATCGCAGTGCTTTGATGTCTATTGAATAATTAGTGCAAAAGCAAAAAGTTAGGGTGGTCCTTAATATGGACATTTTCGAATTTTTTTGCTCCCAGGGGCCCAAAATGCTTCCAAATTGATAAAAAAATACTCTATAAGTCTTAGCTCTTAATACTTCCTTTTAGATAGCGCAACTCGAAGTTTGTATGGAAATAGCATAAAAAAATTCAAAAATGTTAAAAATCTTTTAAGATCTAACTTAGCGAACAAATAAATGAGTTTTATTCGAAATTCAGCGCTTTACAAAACAAATTATAAAAAACCCGTTTTGCAGGGTGTCGAATTTTTAATAAAATATGACACGAATTGTCATTTTTAATTGATTTGTCGCCAAGTTATACCTAAAAAACATTTTTAAGATTTACGAAATTTTGTCCATGCTATTTCCATATGAAGTTTGATTGAATTGCGAACTATCTAAAATTTAATATTAAGAGCTAAAATTTATAGATAATTTTTTTTATCAATTTAGAAGCATTTAAACCCCTGGGAGCAATTAAATTCGAAAATTTCCATATTAAGGACCACCCTAATATATATACACACTATAATTTGAACTGACAATGAAAATAAGTAGTTAAATATAGTTATGAATTAATACAATTAGCACATGTATAAAATACTCATAAAATAAATAAACAAATAGAAACATTAACAGAAATAAAAATATATGCTATTACTATTTCAAGTACAAGTCATAATATAATCATTTCTATTTCCGTCTCTTCAAATTGTTTTCAAATCTAACGACGTCTATAATATCACTTTCACGCATGACAACCGTCGAGCTTTATTTGAAAATGGAAAACCAATAATATATGGTGTATCATATTAAAATATCAAATAAAATTTGTATTACTGTTAACAAGATATATATATATATATATATATATATATATATATATATATATATATATCATTTTGAATCAATAGCGTACAATGTCATTTATAACGGTAACTCTTGTTGGAAATAAAATTCAAGTAAACTAATAAAATATTAAACGTTAATTTTTGATTTTGATATTTCTGTGTGCAAAAACAGTAGGAACTTATCGCACTTTTTTTTAAATATATTTTTGGCATTTCTTGTCATTTCAAATTTTACATATATAATGATTTGGAATCAAAAAGTTTTGGATAGGTTTTTTTAATTTCACTTCTTCAAATTTAACAAAATAATTAAGAATAAAAAACAGATACTTTTTTTAGTATCAGGCAAATTGTTGCCAATTTTTCACTGTGTTCACCTTAATTTTAGTTTTCTCTTGAAATTTATTTTCCAAACAATTTTCATAATTGATGTCAAATTTGAATAAAATATATAACACGACAAATTAATTTTCAACCCCTATAGAACTGAGCCCAAATTTCGATGACAATTGACAAACAGTCGACGTATACATAATTAATAATATCGTTGATAATGTAAATATTAGGTGCACGTACCTCTCTGAATCGGTTGCACTATTAGTTGAAGAAAGTACCAGAAATTCACTGTACTGAACAACTGTTTGGTGAATTGTCGGATGCTGCTTTTTATACGTGCCGTAGATCTTCTCCAAAACAATTCCCCTTCTTACCGGTGCGGTACTTACTGCTGTTGTTGTCGGTTCTGATGCACAATTTTCCAAGGTGGGAATATTTGCCAAATGGAGATAGATGATCAGGAGTAATGATGGTAAGTGAATCGTGACGCGGACCATGCGTCGGCGAAAGGTAACAAAAATCACTAACCGACGAAGAACCATGCCGATTGCCAACGATCTGCAAAACACAACGATCTCATAACTGACATTACTAAAATTATCATTGTGCCAATGATCGTGGTTTCTAATGACTACCAACATCGAATCTCATACAAATCAACGACTGAATACATATACACTCACACACACACACACATATATATATATATATAACTAAATAAATTTTTTTTTAGAATTTTTATAATTTTATTTGCAAATATACAATCTACTCCAATTTTTTGGAGGCCTTTTTCCTTTCACGAATGGGGTTTTGAAACCTCAAAACAGCACTAGCCCTTCTGAAAGCAACTTTAGTCAAGTCACTACCTTGAATGCGATGCATGCAAAAAATGCGGGCGCACGCCTTAGGGGGCACAAAAAAGAGATTTGGATATGAAATTTATAATAAAGTTTTTTCAATATCATTCAAGATATATATAATTTCTTTGCATCTTTTACTAATCTTGGATAATATTTTTAAAATTCAATTTCAAAACAACAATATGATACATGCTTGGAAAGTATAGATTGATGAATACATACCGGACCTCACGATATTAATTAGTAAAAGTTTACGATGCAATTTTAGATATATAAAAAAATGAAAAATTAAACTTAAACCTATTTTTTGTATACTAAATCCAGATTTATTAAAAATTATTCCAAAAAATTAACGTAAATGTTTATTAATAAGGGGGGGGGGGTCGCCAGAAAAAAATTGGCATGCGGGCGCTGAATACCCCAGGACCGGCCCTGTATATATATATATATATATATATATATATATGCGTGTGTGTGTATACATATATGTATATATATGTATATATATACATAAATACATGTATACATTTATAGATATAGACGATAAAATGTTTTTCGCCATTCATCCAATAATTAAAAGAATCGAATAAAGAAAAATTTCCCGTCTTGATTTGACTCCTTTCTAGTGCATATAAATAATCAAAACAAAACATAAAAATAAGAACACTAATTAATGTAATACAGTTGTATAGCATTTGTTTAAATTAACATAAAAATAAAAAAAATATAAAGATACCTACTTGTCATCACACTATGGCAAATGTTTGATTCAAACATTTGTAAGTGTTAAGTAAAAAGTGAACTCATTAAATGTTCAAACACATACACACAGTAACTTCAGTAAACAGTAAATCATGTAATAGTTAACACGTTTTTCTATATCCATTTTTTAATTATTATGAATTACATTACATTGAAGATGAGACAAACCTAGTCTTGAAACGTTTGTAAAATTAAAATTATTAGTGCAAATTAAATAAGTGCAAAAAGAGTACTGTGCATTCACATGTTCATATTTATATATGGAAAATAAGTCGAAACGTAGTCGAAAGTAAAATATGACTAAGAGAAATGGGAAGAAAAAGAATGCAAATGGTTGACGATTTACGTGAGAAGAGAAAATACAGGGAACTGAAAGCCGAAGCACAGGATCAAGAAGCATGGAAGCAAAAGTTCAGAAAGGAAAATACATATTTTTTTTTTAATGGGGAAGGGGAATAGTGGTAATAGGTTAAAGGGTAAGGGAATCATTTATTTGTGGTGGCTCTCACATCATGGACCTGCCTTTGGGCAGGCTAACTTATTATTATAATTATTATTATATATACACACACATATATATATATATATATATATATATATATATCTTGAGGATTTTTGCTTTATGGATTTTATATATATATATATATAAATTTAAATATATATATATATATATATATATATATATATCGTCGACTGTATACATATTATAAAACATACTATAAAGAGTTAACAAAACATCTAAAACGACAATATTTGGTAAAAATACTGTAGTCATTACATAAAAATAATTAAGTCAACACAATTTCAAAAGTGCTAAATGATTTCCAGTTACATTCAGAGGCAAATTCGAGTTGAAATACACCACAGTTCTGAAACTTTAAAAATTAGTAAATTTTTACAATTTAGTTATTTTTATAAAAAAATATTTATATAAAAAGTGGCCTTAATGCAAGCAGAGGCCGAAATAATAATATATAAGTGTTCTCCAATTCAAAGTTAATTAATGAAATTTTTCCTTACAAAAAAATAGTATTGAAAATATTACAAATATAGCTTTAACATCTATAAAAAATAGTATACACCGGTAATGCGCTTTTGTGCTAAGGTAAAAAAGTTGTCACAAAATTGATTCAAAGCTGGTGTATTTTATCAAAAAATGAATGATATCTGAATATGAAGATGATAAGCCTTTTATTGTTTTTGTTTTCAATTTTATATGCAAATTCGACGATTATACTCTAACCGTAAAAATCGTTAAAGGGTTGATTTTAAAATTTAGCAAAATGTGAACACATATAACTATTTTCTAAGGTATATCAAATTAAATATAATATATATATATATATATATATATATACAGTTAAAAAACTGTTAAAATGATTATAGTTAGGTGATCTATACAATTTCATCATATATTTGTAATTATCATATTTCATATCATATTTTTGTTATTTTAAAATATCAAATATTTCAATATATTTTCCATAATAGAAATAATTTGAATATTATTGTAAAAATTTATATTTGAAAAAAGTTAAAATATAAATATTTATTTTTTTATACAAGAACATGTGGCTTAACTGAATATCAAATAACTAATTTTTATTTGCATTTTAACGATAAGAATATTATATCAAAAAAATTAAAGTTATAGCAATAATATCCGAAGGGTTAGTGATGAAAAAATAATAAAAATTTATAATTCATTAACCATTTCTAGAGAGTTTGCGCTCATTGTTGAAGTGTCTACTGAAATAATAACAAACATGTGTTTTTACTTTGTCATAAAGCCGCTATAAAAATGAACAAATTAAAAAGTAGACAGAATTATTCAATGTCGAGTGTAAACCAAATGTCACAGGTCGCACACTTATGTTTCGTTTATTTAAAAAGGTAATGAAATTGCATAAATCATAATCAATTTATTATTTGTTTTGTGACCACATTAATGAATAGTTGTTTATGGAGAATAAAAAAAATATTTGAAAGAGCGTAAGACCTGTACTTGCGTTGAATGATTATGTATGAATGTGGTAATACTTGATCTGCAATATAAAATAAAAAAAATCGAATATTTTATATATTTATTTTTTAAAGCTTAAATTTACATTTTAAGCTATAATAGTTTGATGATCCAATACAGTAAGTACTATCAAAAATAAAAGTACTGTAGATTATTTTTTCATGTGTACTAAACTCAATAATTCTAAATTCTTTACGTCGAGTTAAAAATTAATTTGGGCTTAAAGTGGGGGAAGATGTTTGCCAAAAAATCACAAAATATTACGTGGAGAGGGGAGGTTTAAAAAATATCAAGAGAATTTATTTGTTATCTAATTTTTAAATAATAAATGTAAAATAAAAAAATTGTACTGCTTGGTGGAGGAGGCCGGGGTTATTTTTAAATATCACCACATATCACCAACGAGGAGGGAGGAAGAGAGGGAAACCGAAATTTTAAAGTTTTTTTTCATATAGTTTTTTTAACACTCTGTAATAGTCAAATTATACCACAATTTTGTCTATTTTTTCTCTGTTTTTGAGAGAAAACCTGTTTTGCTGCGAAAAAAGTCCCAAAGGCACCTAACCACATTATTTTTAACATAATGACAATATTATATAATATATAATAGCATGCAAAATTCAGAGAGTTCCCTTTCAATGATAAAAAATTATCGCACTGAACAATAATATATTAGTTTTTATACCACCCATATATTTACTTAATTGGTGTAATTGTAGAAGATCTATGAGGCTGCCATTCCAGTTCTGTTCTTTCTCTATTATTGTCAAACCCATATTTTATCTTTTTATTAGCAATCGTTTCTTTTCTGAAAAAGCAAAAATATATCACGGAATTAGTTACTTGCTCTCCAATTATTAAATAAAATAATATTATTGTATAAAAAAGTCAAGAGCATCGGCAGAGGCCTTTCCATATGCCTCCATTACTAACAATACTTTATTGTTTTAAAATATTATAATAATTATTTATAAAAAGAGATGTTTAATATTGTTTATTAAATTATTATATTTAATATAGTTTAATTTAAAATTTTAAGAATGACGATGAAACAAAGACTACTTTGAAATCAAAATATGCAAAAACAAAAAAAGATGAAGAAAATTTTACCCATTAGCGCGAATGTTACTGGTGAACTTATGTTGAATCTTTCATGAAAATGCTCACTAGAATAAAAGTTTATTGCGATGGGACTTTGTGAAATTATTCAAGGGTCGTGGGCAAATATATAGTTAATACAATAGTTAAACTAGCCTACGACCCTTGAATAATTTTACGAAATCACAGTTAATTTACTTTTTTATTTGCAATGTTTTATTTTTACTCCTTTGCCAGGGTAAAGATTCACTAAATCTTGTTTACCCCACCCTGGTGTAAGCTTTCATAAAGGTTATAAAAAAACTTGAATGTAACTAAAAATTAATAATTCATCTTATAAAACAATTAAATAAAACATTTAAAAATTTATATTAAGGTCTCGTAAACTAAGCAACAGAGCTCACTAAAATAAGACAAAAAACAACAAATAATAACAAAATACTTTTGTTTTGAATTTTTAATCGTTGTCGTTTTTTCCCCGATTGCAACGTCGTAAGAATTACGGTTACGGCTGGTTACATCTTTTTCCCTCCATTTTCAAATACTGCTGTTAAAAAATTCTCAACTCTACTGGTTTTTTAAATATGGGAGGTGGACCTTTAAGCCCTGCTCTACCGTGTGTAAAAAAATCAGAATATAACCATTTTAATCAATCTTAAGCTATACTTACCATTACTGATATCGTATGCACAAAAAGGGTGTTAATGGAACATATGTCGTTTCAAGTAAAATGGTTTGTTTCGAAATGATTTCTCTGTCTCTCGGGACAAAATAATATTGGTTCTATGCATTTTGTTTTGCCTCGAAATTTTCATATACATTGCTGGTACAGTACGTTTTCTCACAGATCTTTTATTCCTACTTTGTGAAATGTCAGCATTTCTTGATTTATTTGGTATTGATGCCATTGAGAAGTCATCTTGAATATCATACAAGAACGTCGCTTTCGGTTGATCTATATATGCAAAAATAATAAGATATGATTCAAAATATAATATAAATTTGCATATATATATATATATATATATATATATATATATATATATATAAACATTAGTACATAAAGATAATAATTCTGTTATGTTGTAAACGCCAAAGTAGAAGCATCAAAATAAATGATTTGGTTGTAGCTGGTAATTGTTATTGTTATTTTATTACAGTGTTATATTACCGTTGTTGTTATATATATATATATATATATATATATATATATAATTGAAGTATTCATTTCAAAAGTCTACTAATGTCCATTGTTTCCAGGCTATCCCGACGAATTGTTATTGTTTATCTGTGTGTGCGTTAATTAATAATCGAAGTTGAAAGTTTCATCGAAGTTGAAAGATACATCTAACATGTACATATATGTATATAAACACTTGCAGATAATTTTAGATGTATTTTAAGTAAATGTTAAAACTTTTCTCACAGTTGTCTTCATATTATTTTCTTTGACTCTTTTCGGTCGTTTTACCACTCTCAGCCACTAAAGCCTTTTTACCGTCTACTGTATGCATTCATACGGCATACAGTAATAATAAAACATAAATTTTATACAAAAACAACACTAGGTAAGTGTATTGAATAAAAATATATCTGAAGTTGACAAAACAATTATTAAATCTTGTTTAAACGGAAAATAATTCCGAGTACTTTGATACCCATATCTTCAAATTTAATTCGACCGAAAAATGTTAATTTCATGAAGAACAAGTTTGATTTTCGGCAAAAAAAATCGATTTGCTAATTTCATATTTTTTACCGTTTCAAGATTTTCTGAAGCGTGTTTTTTATATAAAGTATTCGCCTGGCTATGCTGAACTTAATAATAACTATTGGTGTATGGCATCGTGCCTTAAGGCAAATTGCTAGAACTTTCCGTAAAACAAAAACATTTTTTCTCCAAAAGCATTTATTTTGTTGAAACAAGCAGAAAGTTCTTTGAATCATTCAAATCTCTAAAACTGCCATTTTTGCACATTTTTGCACATTTCGCTCTGCATCTTTGAAATGGCTAAACCTGCCTTTGCCAAAAACTAATCACCTCTTCTCCCAATCATTACAAATTGAATGTTATTTAGATCATTCAAATCGGATACTCCGTTTTCTCAAAAACTCGATTTCTATTTTCTGCACTCTTTACTCTATATCTCCGTAACGGCTAGGCCTGCCTTTGCGAAACTTCAACTATCAATAGTAATCGAATGTTTTTTGAACCATTCAAATCGGTTGATCCGTGCGCCCGAAAACGTGGCCGAAAAATATATACGTGGGCATACAAAAAACACACACACATCAATTTTTTCTGAAGTATGCTAAAATGTTCAGAAACGTCCAAACGTCGAGAAATGCAAAAATTTTCATTTTCGATTTTCGGCCCACTACTATAACTACCCTACGGGAAGTTAATAATACTGACTAAAACCTCTGCTTTTCTCTTGCCTCTTGTCCTAATGGAAATCGCCGTTAGAATTTAAAAACCATTTGATGAAACTCGATAAGGATTCGCGTTGATTTGTGCGACGATCATACGAGTCGTTACTTTCGAATGAGTAATAAGAACTAAATTTTTTGTCAACGTTTCCGCTAAAAATCAGAACCGATTTTGTAAATTCAAAAGCTGTTTCGAAGATAGTTGGGAATCGTACTAATTAGTTTAGGTAAAGTTTGGGCTGGTCATTTATTTGTTGATGTTTTGTGACAATGTTCATGAAACTTCGCATGATGATGTAGTTTATGGTCTAAACAAACACTAAAATATTATAATGTGATAATAATTACAAATTCATTGAAGTTTAGAGTAATGGACCATGCTCTAATGATATAAGACGTGTCTATTCTGTACTATGTATAATAAAATGTATTATTCCGAATTAGACCAAATGATATAATGTCATTCCGATGAATGTCGAAATTTATCTAGACTAGATATGATCTAATCTGTACAGGAATTTATACCACCCTATTAAGTCAAATAGATACCATCATGAAATTTGAATTATTTCATCATCTTCGTACAAACTAATTATAAAATTTACAACTATAAGAAAATAACAAATTATTCATTTATTACCCATCAATTTAATTAATACATTTGATAATTTTGTACATATACACACTAAGGCATTACTATTAAACGGTTGGCCATCCGTAAAGGTGCAGCTTTTTCTTAGACTCCTGCATTTTATTAGCCAACTCATGCTCCAATTTTATAGGTGAAATTGTGGTACTCGGATGGGCTTTTCGTTTAATATTTGCAGCTCTGTACATTGGTGGAATATGATTAGCTCGTTTTTCCCTTATCGGTGGTAGCATGTAAAGATAAGCAACGTTTAATTCATTTTTCTCTAAGTGGTTATTTTGACCATCTTCAGAGTCAGCTAGCATTATCTCTTCATTTACATCTAATAATTAAATAAAAGCTTCATTATATAAGTAATTAGATAATACTCTAGCTTTTTATAATTTATATAAACTTTCTAACAATAATGAAACATTAATGTTGTTTATACTATTATATTTAAGCAGAAGACGCAGATGTAAGTCATTAAAGCATGGAAGTGTAATGGTAAAGCACACATTCAACACATGGAAGTGTAATGGAGCAAAATTATTAATAGCTATTAGACTATTCGAAATATAATTACCTTTTTTCAATAGACAATTTAATTATATTTTTTACCAAATTTGCATCTTATTCACATAATCGGTATAACTGATTGAGTTTAAGCTCGAAATAATTTAACCGATCTATTTGGGAGTTTGTTCGGCAATTTTGGTGTCAAAGTGCATTCCAAAATATGCAGTTTTCTTTAATATATTTAATTACTATTAAGTTTATATATTTATTCAACATTTGCTTAACACATGACAGAAGATCAAAATAAATCTTTGAAAACATGATTCAACGGTTTTATTTTTGACGATATTTAATTCTTTCAAAATCCATTTGCAATGCATTTTTCATTTCCAAGGAATGTTTATAATTACTAAGAAAAGTTGCAAGAGCTTCCCGATATGAAGTCAATTATTGTCGCATATAGAAAAGTTCTTGCAGCTTACCTTAATAAATTTAAATAGCATTTGAAAATAAAAAATGCATTGCAGATGCATTTTGATAAAATTAAATATCGCAATTTTTAAAACCATAATGATAAAATTTTGAAATGAAGACACGACTCATTATTCTAAACTTTGATAAAACTTTATAATTATACCACTTTCCGTAGGACTATAATAATTCAGGAGGTTCGTTGAGACAATGATGCCTATGCAAAATACATTAAAATTGTGAAAATTTAAAAAAAAACTTTCAGTTAACTACGAAAAAACGGCCCGGCCGGTCTTTACCAAACATTAATCAGCACGATTACCAACTGATCTTTTTAACGATTCTTAAATTTTCAAAATCGTTCAAGGTATTTTTGCAAAAAGGTGGACGAAATATGTTGCGCTTAAATAATAAGAACTAATCAAGTCCTTTTCGAGTTTCATCAAATAGTTTCTTTATAAAATCAATGCAGCTGTTCTTAACAAAACGACGACGAAAGGTCTAATTTAGACTCACAAACTCATACTTATAATTACTTTAAAGAAAACATAAAATTATCAAATCGAATTTTCCTGCGAAAACACTAATCCCTCGAGAAGCTAAGTGACATATTGCACAACCTCGGGAAAATTGCTGAAAGTTCTCGATAACTAACTAAATAATGTTATAAAAAAGCGATAAAATTTTTTATATGTATTCGTAATTAATGATGTAAACATTAACAATATAAAACAGTTGAGACACAGTTTCATAAACTTTATATAAAAATATAAAAAAAAATGTTTCAATTTAAAATGAAGTATTGTATTCGGTATACAAGTTTTGGGTATACAACCGATTAATCATTAGTAATAATTACTGTTAGAAATCATATATTAAATAACATTAATTATCATTGAACGCTATACTCCACGCTACACAAGCAATATACATTTTTGTAAATATTCTTTTTTTTAATTTCGAAAACTGCAATTATACAATTATTATCATTGTTCGAAAAATATTTGGTGTTATTTTTTTATAATTTTATATAAAGAGTTTTATCATTATTTCGAAACTTTTGTATCTTTTTAACATGGCTTTTAAGATCTAAAAATAAAAATCGATTGATATTCTCACGGAAATAATAAATTTGAGAAGCATCTTGGAGTGGCTCGGAAACCCATATTTTATAAAAAGAACAGTTTATAACATTGTAAAAATGAAAAAATCTCTCATTTAGTAAAATAAAAGCTTTATGTAAATAACGTTTTTCTATATCTGTAGGAATGACAAATTATGGAACTAGGCACATCACTTTATTTGTCGACAAATAAAATCAAAATTTCGACCGCACACGTATTATTTGTTCGACACTAATAATATTTAGTTCCGCGAAAACTAAACCTAATTTGCTTCTTCAATATATTTCATACCTCTAAAAATAATAAATAATTTGACAGTCAGGTGACATATGAACAGATTTAATTCGAATAAAAATAATATTTCATAATATAACGATTATATATAAATACATACCCTTAGCATCAAAATTCTGTACAAAATCTTGTCCGCCAATATCTTTTCTAGAACAAATGACCCCTTCGAATAAAATTAGGTTCGCAATTAGAAAATACCAAAAAAAACTCCACATTTTCTGCTAAACTACTTCCTGTTCGCAAAATATGTCGTACGTATAAAAGCTATTATTAAATATTAAATTAAAAATTAAATATTCAGATTAATATTTCATAATACTATTATGCATATTGAAATAAAAATATATGTTCACATAATGAAAGTATTAGTTATTCACTTGTTTACACGCGCAGCTATTTAATAATCAAAGCAATACGACATTTTGTTAGCTAATTGGAATGTTTTGTTTCTCATTGAGAGGCCATAATTGTTCTTATCAATAAATATTTTTATTAAATTGCAATGTTAATCAATAACAGTATTCGACAATGGCTGTAATAAAACATCGCTATTTGAAGGCCAAGTTAATTCTAAGGAAATGCAATTAAAATACAGTGGCTAGGCCGCGCTCATTGCACTACTTCCTAAAACTAGTGGGGTGTATGGCATCGTGCCTTAAGGCAAATTGCTGCAACTTCCCGTACCGTAATTAAAAATCTTGGTACGGAACCCAACAAAATTTACACAAAATATGTACACATTATTAAATCTCTATAAAATATCTGATAATTTGATATACATATGTCCAATAAACAGTTTTAACCGCCAAATGACATTTTTTTTAACTTATTGAGAGTCCATAACCGCTGAACCTGCCTTACCAAACATTTAATCAGTTCTTCATCTTGTCAATACAAGTAAAATGTTTTTTGAATGTTTAAAATCGGACACTCCGTTCTTTTAAAAACTGTGTTACTGTTTTTGGCGCTATTTGTCCCGTATCTTCGGAAGGCTAGACCTGCCTTCGCCAAAAACTAATCAGAACGTTTCCTTGTTAATACAAATCGAATGTTTTTTGAATTATTCAAATCGATTGATCGGTATTCCCGAAATCGTCGACGAAAATTTGAAACGTAAAGATATATAAAAATTTTCATTTTCGATTTTTTTGCGATTACTATAACTTACCCTACGGGAAAGTGATAATAAAAGAAAAAAATATGTGCTGCTTCACAAAAAACGCACAATACAGTATATAAGCCTAAACATAATTCGTATGAATCCGTAAAAAAATGTAAACATTTAGTAAGAAGTAGCATTTGAATTAAATTTGTTTGATATAAAATATATTAGCAAGTATTAGGGGTATACCATAAATATGGTACCAATGCTAAATTAAACTTTTCTAATATTATATAAGGTAATACAAACACGCACGCATTATTCATTATTGTGCCAACTCAAAGCAAGTAATTCGAATAATTCGAATCAAGCCCCTGACGACCTGAATCAAATCAACTGGTATCAAGCCAAGAAATATTTACTATGATACTGTATGTATAATTGTATGTATAAATACAAATTTTAATATAAGAAAACTAATTTTAATAAACATAAAATATAATACTATATAAATAAATTCAATCATGCAAACCACTCGAATTCAATCGACTCGTTGGAGTTACTTGCACGACTCGAATTGAACCGAATCATTAGAGTTACTCGCATAATTCGAATTAAATCGAACCAGATACAAGAACGTCATTGTGTTTCTCACATTTGTTTATTAAACAGAACGCCGAAAGGAAATTCGTGTGTAAAATACTAATCCATACTCCATTTTGATAAATATGTGTTTTAGAAACTATATGTTAATAGTTTGATTTGTCATATCTTCAATATGATAGTTTGATTTGTCATATTAGACCAGTCATTTAAGCTTAAATTAGGTAAAAATCTCGAAATTCGAGATACCCAGCTGTAAGTGTGTAAATACTTGTATTTTGCACCCTAAAAGTTGTCTCAAAACCTACATATGGTAGGGTGTATGCATATGTAGGTTTTGAGACAACTTTTAGGGTGTAAAATACAAATATGTACAGAGTACCCAGTTACAGCTGGGTATCTCGAACTCCGTGGTGAACTTACTATAATAACTGACTATATCTTGATTATGATGATATACAAACAGTTTGTGTCTTTTTATACTTTATTTTAATGTTTTTATTTATATATTTATTTTTATTTTATATTTTATATTATTATATTTTTTTTTCAAATATAGGTCATAAGTATTTTGAATATAAACAATCTGACACCATGCTAAACCGGACTCAATTTGAGCCTCAGAACGCTTCATTAATTAAATTTACCTCTAAATTGATTATGTTTGTCTTTCAAAATAGAAGCTTCAAATTTATTTATCATGTATCTTTCGCCACCCAAAAAACAATATTTATATGTATAACTGAAATAATTCACAGTTGCATAAAGATAATATGGAGGACCCTTAGAACTATTATAACTTTATGTGAACAGAATAGTAGAATCACTTATTGAAGTGATTCTCTAAATATCAATTTAATATTTATCAGATAAATTTATATGTGTGTTTCAAAGTGTGTGTGTGTGTGTATGTGTGCGAGTGAATGACATAAGCCAAATAGCTCATAGGATTGTCAAGTATTCTGATTGCTATTGAAAATAGAATTAAAAAAAAATGTTGCATCAGCAATTCATGATTTTCCATGCTATGTATTGCACAGTGTACGTTAAAAATGGGTTAAAAATGCTGAGCTTGAAATATACATCATATATCTACAAACGTCTCATAAAAATAGTCAAAACCAAATAATTTTTTAAAGCAGTGCCAAATGCTGTCACTTTGTCATTTATATAAGTCAGTATAACATGAAGGTTACGGAATTTAATAAACTTCATCAGCAATGTAAAGTAATATTGCATTAATGGGTAAAGAGTTATAATAATTTTCAATATATTATTACAGAATTGTTCATATTCATAGAAATTTATTTATATAATAATTACAAATACTCAAGTATATCTAATAATTTAATATAAATAACAATTTAAAAGTTTTATCTATAAAATAATTATTGCTGTAATACAGTCATTTGTACTACTTAAAATATAATCTAAAGTCAATTAATGCCAAATTCAACAAAACCTTTTTTAATGTCTAATATAATGGTATGACATAAAATCATCTCACCCATCAGACTTGTTTTAACATATTTCTCTCATACCTTATTTTCTATCATATTTTGGTAACTGTGTTCATTAATAAAACACAATTGTTCACAGGTCCGTTTTCACAAGGGAATGTATAAACATTGCTGCAGTTTAAAAAATCATTGTCGATAATAGGTCAATAAGATTATTGTTCCATTACATAACCTGAGAATATAACAATTATTGATGAACTAAATTTGAGTAAATAAATACAATATTTTCATATGGAATAACAAATTACTGGAATTCTTAAGGAATTTGACAGGATCTAGGACTATGGACGGTGATAATATATTGGATCTATTAGCATTAAATCGTCTTCTTCATCTTCTCTCAATAGCAACTGATAAATAGTAGAAAAATTAATTAAAACATTATATATATATATATATATATATATATATATGCAGATATATTAATAAAAAAAACAATCGCATGAAGCCTTCAACTTTTCAATATTGATCCATGATTCATCCTTAGTATTAATTGAAAAAATGTCACCATATTTGTATTATTATTGCATAAAAACAATAATATAGATCGCTACAGAAGGAAGAAATGCATGTGATTACTAATTAATTTTCTTACTTGTAATATTTGGCTTGCTTCAAATGCTGTTCCAGGAAGTAACAAAACTGGACTGGATACATGACCGGATTCAACACATAGCATGTTAGGGTATTCCTCATCACCAAAATCGGACATTTCCCGTGCTTTCTCTATCCATGGATTCCAAACAACTATACAAATTGTAAAAAAAAAATTAAAACTCACTAAAATTCATACTTAAAATTAAGTATTTAAATATATTTAAATAACTAACTATATATATGTCAATATTCATATTCAAATACACTTCTAAACACTAGCAACAGACGACTAAATTAGACAAATGTAAATGTTGAATATCTTCTTAGTTATGATTTTAAAAAATATTCCAAAAGCTTGAACCAGTTTGGTAAGCTGAATTGTGGAATTAGTCTTGCAATTACAACTTAAAATTGCTTATTTATGTAAAGAAAATGAAATAAGTTTTGTTTAAATAACATTTATATAACCATTACTAATAACATATCATTATATGTTATTATAATAACATATGTTATTATAATAAAATATAACCATTAATAATAACATATTATTTGAGCTAAAACGCGATTTTGTGACAATATTATCGTCGACAGCACTTAATTGCTTCTGAATAGAATTTGTAAATTAAAGACTACATAATATAAATTTTTGTTTCAAACATAATAAATGATAAGTTCTAATAGTTAGTTTTTTTTATCAACATGTATTGCCTACTAACAAGCAAGTCAAAATCAAATAAATAATAATTACATTCAATGCTATAGAATATTATAGACATTTGTCAACTTAATTACAACGCAAATTACAAATTACGTGATATGTACAGTTATCAAATACCATTATAAAAATGAATAGATAAGAATATCGGACAAAATATTGCAGTTTCATTGATTGCATCCTGAATATAAGTAACTGATCATCTGTAATGAAACCTTATCTATAAACTTAATTTTAAGATAAATATGTGCCCATACTGTTAGAAATGAAATAATTCTTGAAATGTATGAAATTTTTCTACGCACCAGTATCAGGCAGGTTATACTTTTGCAATCTCATCTTTCTACCAGAAACTACATTCGTAACAATATGTTCTTGAGGAGTTTGCTGATATACCCTGTCCGTCCATTCCGACACTGTGACCACATCTCTAGTTTCCTGATAAAGCAGTCCATCGCAAGTTTTGTCCAGATATGTGCAGCCACGCAGTCCCGTTATCTGACATCGGCGCACATCAGGAACTTTCAAATATGTGTGCAACAAGAGATTAAAGGAGAATGTCAACTCCTTGGATGGGTTGTAAACGCCTATGTGAAAATGTAATTCTTTTTCACGCAAAATTAAACGATAAGTTAAACGAAATCTGTAACAAAACGTACAATTTAGAGTTAATCATATTATTTTACTAAATTATGAATAATCATATCTATAAAAAATATAATAAACAGAAGCTAAATATATATTCTACCGTACTCATGATAACAATAAATATACTTATATGAGATGTATATAGTGACAAAGTACCAAAATATCTATAATTATGAAATATTTGTAAACTAATGTGATGTTTAGTTGTTAACCTAACAAACTACGAAAGCAACCCAAACAGTCATATCTCTATGTGATGAATCTTATCATAACAATTTATGCAATAGAGATGATTTTTTATTATTGGGCAAAGGCTGTTTTCACTTGGTAATATAATGCTATCTATGTTTCCAAGTAAAAACCGATATCACTACTACTTGACATCAAGCTGCCCGAGACGAGCATCGAACCTGAGACCCCTGAAATCTCATATCTCTCAGCACTAATCGCAATTTCATGGTTCAAAGGATTTTGTCACATAATTGATAATGTTTTAACCCTAATATAAGATGGATAATTTTTAACCCTAATATAAGACTATGTTTTCATAGCGAAAGCACTAGTACAACACAAATCACAAATAACAATTTGGTAATTTTATTGCTACGCAATCCTTATTATGTCCATTTACATTTACATTTACAAATGTATCATTTTTTAATAGTATGCTTTAGTGGACGTCATGATACCTATGATTTAATTAGAAAATAATAGAGGCAACCCACGGGTAGTTCCACATAGATCGTGTGAAATCATCGTCCATTATAGAGAAGACTGCCTCTACATCGCCACTGGGCAGTCGCTCGGGTGCCCTTTCCAAACACCAGCGCATAATTCGGGCAAATCCATGATGAGGGCCAAATGTCCAAGGACCAAACTGTGCTGCAAAAATGTGAGAGGGGTACATGAGTTAACTTTCAATTAGAAATTCGCGTTAGTTCTGTTCGAAATAAAGTTTGTACTTTATGATTATATAAAGAAAATGTTAAGATCGGCTGCATAACGCACATAAAGTCTGCTAAAAATATTAATAAAAATTATATTTTTCATAATTGTGATATCAAAAAGGAGACTCTTTTTTATTCAAATCATCCAGGAAAGCGCGTGGTAATAGAAATTAAGTTAATTTTTCTGAATTATGGATCCTTTTCTTTTTTTTTAAAGTTATATAAAATATTGCATAATTTTCTTCAAAATTAAATTTAGTTAGTGATAAAAGGGTAATGACGTTTTTAGTATGTTATTTCGTTGTAAAGTTTATAATATAATTTTAGTTTTTAGTATATAGTTTTTGCAAATAAGAATCTTTGCAAAAATACGAAATAATATTTAATTTAAATTCTTCATAGTACAATACTACTAAAAAAAAAACGGGACACAAGTTGGAAATCCAATGCCAATAGTTAAACGTGTATTGATGAGTAAGCTTTGGCGCCAAATAGTAGATTATTGAAACGTTTCATACAGTTTCATACAAGCGGTTATAATTTTGCGAATTTTCCATTAATGCTGGTTTTGTGCCAATATCGAGTTAATATTAAATTTTAATTTCTTCCATTTCAAATATAGTTATCTCAGTTTAAATAATCAACAAACAAAGTATCGTTTTTAATGACATAACACATCGCATGTTTGATAGATGCTGATAATATGTAGTCATTGCTGATAACATATGTGGTGCTCAGATAAAATAATAGTCACGTATGTTAAAGTGCACAATGATAGCTTGAATTAATTGATAAATAGTCCAAATATAAAGATAAAAATATAAATTCGCCAAAACATCAAAACAAGTTATGTATTAAGTTAAAAAATAAAGATATACATACGGAAAACGAATGGTATTCCTCCACGAATAGCTTTCTTTCCATCGAAGACTGCCTGTTTGCTGTAACAAATATTCGTACAGGTTATAAATTAGACAAATAATTAAAAAACCAAGTTTTACATGTTTATAACAAACAATAATGCAGTTAATATTCAAATAAAAAATACTTTTACCATCACATTGCGTTATATAAATAAATACCATATTATTCGAGAAAAGATGTTATTTTATAGCCTTTTATGATTCCAAATTTAGTAGGCAGAACGAGATTTATTTTAAATAAGTTAATTTAAGAGCTAGAGATTTAAAATAAATAAATACAATTTTATATTCAGGGTTTTTCAATTCAATTGCCAATTTTAAGAAAGTTTTACTGCTTTGCAATCATACTTTTGGCAAAAAGTAAAATACTACATATAGATTGGTCCCGTTGAAAGACATGAATTGAGACCCGTTGAAAGACATGAATACATACATTAAAATAATAAATAACTTAGAAAAGCATCATATATGAATTGAATTCATAAAATTCAGAATTAAAAACAATTAAAGCTGATATATTTTATTTTTAAATTTATGTTTAAATTACGGACCAGCAATGCCGTAATCAGTTCGCGCAGGTTACCACTACCAGATTTGATGTCAAATTTCCATTTGAAGTTATAGATCTCAAATATAGCTTCAAGTGAAAATCGCCTCTCGTGAAAACAGTTACTTACTGAATGTCCTAGTATGACGAATTGTAATTTTTATTTATTAACTTCCCGAAGGAGGTGTTTATGGTTTTATCAAAAAATCCTATTCGTTAATTTTATGTTTTCTCGACGTTTCAAGCCATTCTGAATTGAATGAGACCAAATTTGGAAAAAGCATGTGTGTGTATGTGAACAGATTTTTTGCCGTAAATCGACGTTTTCTCAAAAACGGCTGGGTCGATTTCAAAAGTCTAAAAGCCATTCGATGTGTCTCGATGAGGACTACCGTTTATCAAATTTGCGGGACGATCAGCCAAACCGTTTCTTTGTGATTTGAAAAAAAGTGCTTAACTTTTCGTCCACATTTAAGCTCATACTACCGAATCGATTTAAAAAAATCAAAAACTGTTCGAAAGATATTAGTTGAGAATGATACTGATTAGTTTTAGATAAAAATCTACCGAGCCGTTTTCTTGTAATTAACTGTTGAAAAAAAAAATCAAGCCGATTTTTATGAAACCTTTTTTGGCGATATATATCATGGTCTTATAGAACTTACTGAAATATTACGGCCTTACGACAGGTAGTTTAATTTTAAAGATTCATCAAAGTTTGATAAAATGAGTAGTATTTTGACGTTTGTTAGAATTATAATTAGACGATTTACTTGGTATAACGATAGAGTACTTGGTCTTAGTGAACATACTAAACCATTGAAGCCCTATGGAAACTGGTTCAATTATAAAAATGGTTGATTTTTGAAAATTTGCTTTTAGAAAATACTCCGAATTAACGTGGTCGTTCGTTTTGAATTATGTGTAATAAATCGACTCGGAATACTTTTAATCACTCATAAATTAATTTATTTTTTTATTGATTAAGTCGATTATTTACACATATCGGGAAGTTCATGTAACTTGCCTCAAGACAAAATACCAAAACCAACTAGTTTATTTTTTTATTTATTTTGCAAGCCGTCAGTATAATGATATTATAATAAAGCTCATGTCAAATTGTTCAATGTTTAAATTGTTCAAAAGCTATTCGTAGTTATGCATAAAATTTGGGATAAAGGTTGGCCATATAGTTTTCTGTAATTATTAAATTTGTAAGGTATATATATAATAGAACTATTATATTGTGACGAGAAAGGGTTAAAACCTTTTTCTTGGGGTTGCAATGACTGCTACTTCGTATATTTTAGCATTGCGTTCCCCAATATGAAAGGGTTACCATGAAAGTCTATTGTTGTTACAATATAGCAAATTTCGCGCGATTTTAAAAATCAGCAAAATTGTAAACAAAATACTTTTCAACACACTTGGACAAATTTATGAACATGTTTAATTATATAAAAAGAAATCAATGTATTTAATATAAAAAGTACAAAAATTGATAAATCGTTTTAACGAAATGCTTAATCATTAAATCTTAATAAAAGTTGACATAAAATCACCGATTCAGTCGTGAGCAAATGAAAACAATGTGAACAAATAGAATATTGACTCGTACAAGAGTTAACGAAATTCACGTTGCCGATAGTATTGCCGAACCGGCAAGCAGCGTTGGAGCAAATCAAGAGGCCGTTTTTTGCGAAAACCTTGGTGCGGTATTACACGGTTTCATTCCCGCAGCTCGCTCGCTATTTGAACACTGTTTGATCGTATTTCGTATCATTTGCTATAGTTTTTCATTAATTGTCTGAGAAGCAACACAGAATTCGAGAAACCCACGAGCGAGAGAGATGAAGTCTAAAGCAGTCGCGGCCAACTAACTCATTTCACGAAACCAGACGATTTACAAAGGAAATCCTTAAAATTACATAAATTTGCCTATTCGATAAAATTCAGAAATGATAAAGGTCATATAAGTTTTTGCAAATTGATACACGTTTTTCTTAAGAAGATATTGTTTTTAGTTATTTTTTTTATTATATTAGCTCTAGTTGATACGCCACTGGGGGGTTAATGTAATTATATATACAGATTCCAGAATATATATTATAAAAATAGATATTGTTTTATACTTTTTCTAAAGGATGTCAGTAGCATTCATTTATCATTTTCTTAAATTCAATATTCCAAATTATCTCTTATATGTGAAGATATTGTGATTACACATTTAGAACTTTTTTCACAACTTTCCCCCCAATACCGTGAATAAAACTTTAACATATTTTCAAATTACTGGCATTGTTTTATAACCATCGAAATTTCGGCAGAATGGTCACACACGTAATTTATTAACCCTCTATGGGCCGAATTCTAAACAATACTAGAATATGATATATTCATATCATATGGGCCAAATATTAGTTTTACATCCAAAAAATTACGGGAATAAATAATCAGTAATTATAAGCCTATATATGCAAATAAAAAACGAAAAATTCTGCTTAAATACATTTTTTTGGTATTAATAAATTATGTGACTTTGAAGTCACAGCGGCCTATAATGTTCTGTGTATGAAAATGTTATTTCAGGTTGAAAAGCCCAAAAAAGGTCATAAATATTGATAATGGTTATAGTTTAATTGTGAATAATAGTTGTAGATTTTTTTTGCGCATCATTTCACGAAAAAAGCCACATTTACTTGATAAAATATCGAAAAATTTGAAATGTGACCTGAAAGTTACGCGGGCCCATGAAGTGTTAAAACACACACATCGTCATTAAGGGGCACAACTAGTGTAACCGCCTAAAAAAAAGTGATTTTTGGGAATTTATATTAAAAAAAGTACTTTATCAATCATTTCAAAATTTATACATGTTTTAAGAATACATAGTAAAATTTTTGAAGAAGCAAATTAAATATTTTTTAAGTTATCTCCAACGGCGCGACAAAAAAAGGCCCTTAACTGCTGCAGTGATTCCGGTCTTCTGCGTGGATGAAATCAAAAACAAAATAATTCTCGTTAAACTAGATAATATTGTCTGTAAAATGAACTACGATAAAAAAAATAAATCAAAAATTGACAAAATGGCGGCGTTTTAAAAAAAAGGCGAATTTTACCCAAAATTTTGGTCGTTTTTCGACTAATTTCGAATTCGATAGTTCTTTTTATGGAGAACTGTATAAAGAACATGTAGAATGAATGAATTTGATGGTGATCGGATCATTCGTTTTTGAGTAATCACTGCAGCAAATTCGGAAAATGTTTCGAGAAAAACGCGTTTAAAGATTAAATGATCGTTCTACCATATACTATATATATATACTTTTTCAATGGCTGTAACTCAAAGACTAATTGAGATATCGATTTGAAATTTTTAAATATTATTTTTAAAAGTGTAATCTACCGAAATATGTAAAAAAAACAAAAATCGATTTTTTCGAAATTTCACACTAGCTGTGCCCCTTGAATTAAAATTATGTAATAAAATAAAAAAAACTTTAAAAAATGTTTTACTGACAAAAATACATTTTTGAAATAATTAGTTTTATTGTAACGGAAGTCTCTATGACTTTATGATTTTACAATAATGTATTAAATTTGCACAGATCAAAATAACCTGCCTAAGTTCTTTAATTATGGTATATCAGCAAAAGTAGCATTGATAGTATTTAACAAAGATTTCATATAAAAATTTAAAATCTACTAAAACAGTATCGATTTTCCTATTTCGAAATAAATGTTATGCACACCTGGCAGGAGCAAAAAACTGAACAGGCGAGCGAGAGGGACGGCCGTAGAACGAACCCGGGGCGAACTTATGTAAAACGCATATGTAAGAACTGCGAAACGCAGGGGACCATCCATCGTTCGTGATAAAAACATGTCTGATGGAAGGCTACTGCTGATGATGGGATATACACAATCACAGGGCTGTAAGCCCCAACAAATATTACTGAAATTGCACACTTGTAGTAATTGAATGAAACGAATATGATATGTTATATTGGAAATTAAGATATGTATTCTAGATGATATATAATAATCTAGTGGTGCATGGCATCGTGCTTTAAGGCCAATTGCTGAAGCTTCCCGTAACATAATTTAAAATTTTTAAAGCTTCACACATTTTTAAAAACTTAGATTTTTTTATATTTTGAAATTTAAAATTGACTAGTTTGAATTTTTTTTTTCAAAGCAATGAAGCTGCATAGCCGTTTCAGAGATGAAATTTCGAAGCGCGTAAGCGCTGCTTTGCTCTCTAACGGTCAAACATTATAAGTATTGGTATGGAACCCATAAAAATGTGAACAAAATTTGTGTTCATTATTAAAATCTCTATAAAATATCTGATAATTTAATATGCATATGTCTAATAATCATTGAAATTCCAAAACCCCTAGACCTGCATACCCAAAAATTTTACCAGTTGTTCATTTCATCAATGCAAGTAAAATAGTTTTTCAAAAATTAAAATCAGATGCTAAGTTCTCTCAAAAACTGAATTATCGTTGTTGGCACTTTTTGCCCCGTATCTTCGAAACGGCTTATAATTATAGTTGATGGCTCTTGTTGCCCCGTATCTTCAAAACCCCTTATAATAAGAGAAATTCAGTGTAGATATTAAAAATATATTTAACAAAATTGATTAATAATATATTAGATAAATAAATATATTTCGACAATAAATTATATTATGAAGCTTATACAATGACTCAATATTAACGAATTAACCCTTTCGACTCGGATGCCAATTCGGCGGCAAATTTCATATGAATCTCGGAATTCGCGAGTTGAAAGGTTTAATAAATGAATTTATAAATATTTATTTGCATATCAAGTAATTTTCGAATGAAAACTTTTGGCAATGTTAGAAACAATTTATTAATAAATATAAATGTTAAAAAAATGTATAAAAAATATTCGATCATATTATGAACAAATGATACACTTTAAAATTCAAATAATACACTTTTTTTTTATTTATGATTTACATTATATATCATTTACATTTATATCAAATAATACACTTACTTTGTTTGCTAAGTTACTGAATAAAAATATATATAAAATAAAGTTTTTCGAACAAAATAAGCGTATTATTTAAATTTTTGATTATATCATTTTTTTATAATATGATCGAATATTTTGTATGAAGTAATAATAAATAAAAGCAACAATAGATTATCTTAAGTTTTGAATAAAATATTAATTCAAAACAAAACCACAATACATCCCTGGTTTCGCAAAATGGCCTAACAGTTTGTTTTTATACAGCATTATAGTGTGTTTGAATCATTATTATACACAATATATATAAAAATTAAGAAAGAAACTGTTCAAGCGACTTTAACATAAGTATGTCTTCAAAATGAATTATGGAAATAATTGTTTTTCGCCAGGCAGACGTTTTAACCTAAAAAAAACATACCTTACAAAAAGTTGTTCTTGGTTATTGACTCTCCATGATACAACAGTGGCACCTGAGAAATAATAAAAGCGCTTAAATAAAACAGATTAATAATTTTTCACTCATAGAATTAATGTAAAATTATCGCTTCGTACCGTGTAAATTAATAGTACAGGTTGTATTATTTCCTCTATCTAAAACAACTACACTTGATCCTGCCATTTTCTATAATTATATTAATAATTGTTAGTTTTATTTATTTTAGCCAAAATTGAACATTTATTCATTAAGATTTATAATTTAGTCATAATAATGAAGGAAAAGCTGTTCACCTCAACAACACAACACACTGCACAAAACTTTCGTTGATACAAATCGCAGAGCCATGAACTGAGAAATTGCGGTTGTATTGTTCAAGCTGTCATTTCTCGGTAACACGACTTCCCTCTGGCCGAACGCAGCCGAAGCAAACGGTGCAGATCTTCGGCAAAGCGCTGCGCTGATTTCGCGGGATGCCGATAGGTGCTAATAGTAATTTCTATTCTTTACTATCTTGACATTTTTTGGCCGATTCGAAAATCCTGTTCCGTTTTACAACGGAAATTATTTGACCGATTTTGCCGTAAGAATTAAATTTTTAAAAGCGATTCAAAATTGTACGTTAAAACGTGGACGACAAATTTTCTGCTAATTACAAAGAAACGGCTTGAACTATCGTCGCGCAAAACTGACAAACGATAGTCCTTAGGGGGCGTCCATTAATCACGTTATATTGAACGGTTTCTTAATTTTTTAAATGGCACAACCACTGTGAAATTTCGAAAAAATCATATTTCGGTAAATTACAGCTTTAAAAATAACATATTAAACTTTCAAATCGATATCTCAAATAGTTTTTAAGTTACAGCCATTTAAAAAGTATATATATATATATATATATATATATATATAGTATATAGTACAACGATCATTTTATCTTTAAACGCGTTTTTCTCGAAACAGCAATTTCCCAATTTGCTGCAATGATTACTCAGAAACGAATGATCCAATCACTATCAATTTTTTTACATGTTCTTTATATAGTTCTCCATTAAATGAACTATCGATTTATTGATCGGATCAAAAATCGAATTTTGGCAGTCAAAAAACGACCAAAATTTCGGGTAAAATTCGACTTTTAAAAAAAAAAACGCCGCCATTTTGTCAATTTTTTATTTATTTTTTTTATCGTAGTTCATTTTACAGACAATATTATCTAGTGTAACAAGAATTGTTTTTTATTTCATCCACGTAGAAGGCCGGAATCACTGCAGCAGTTAAGGGCCTTTTTTTTGTCGCGCCGTTGGAGATCGACGATAACTTAAAAAATATTTATTTTTTTTCTTCAAAAATTAATTCTATGTATTCTTAAATCATGTATAAATATATTCCTAAAATTATGAAATGATTGATAAAGTAGTTTTTTTAATATAAATTCTCAAAAATCGCCTTTTTTTAGGCGATTACACTAGTTGTGCCCCTTAAATCGGTCCAGCCCTTTTCGAAAAAAAACGTCGGCAAAAGTTCAGAATCAACATACATTTTCTAAATTTGGTCAAATATCAGAATACACATCAACATACTTTTTCTAAATTTGGTCTCATTCGATTCAGAGAAAAATCAGAAAATCTTAGATAAAAGAGATAAATATGTAGATTACTATTTTTAAAATCCTGTTCCTTTTTGGCAACGGAAATAATTTGGCCGATTTTGCCGTAAAAAAGACCAATGTTATGTGGAGGCTGGCTATGTTACGTGGCAGTTTTCATACAAAATTGTACTAAATACTGTAAAAATGCCATGTATTTGATCTGGCGTTTTACACATAAAATGCAACTTCACTATCGCTATATCACAAAGATTCAGTAATCATAACATCGTTTTTTCAACGTTTGTGCGTATTCCCGGCTAAGTTTTTTATCTAAAACCCTGACCGCACAGCAACCACATAGGATTATGACAGTTTTTAGTACTACTTTATATGAAAACTGCTACATAACATAGCCTTGCCATAACATTTGTTTATATTACGGCAGAATCAGCCAAATTATTTCCGTTGCCAAAAAGGAACAAGTTTTTAAAATAGTAATTTACATATTTATCTCTTTTATTTATAAAAACTTATTAGCTTCCCGAAGAAGAAGTTTATGTTTTCGCGAAACAAACCGATTTGATAACTTTATGTTCTCTCAACGTTTCAAGTCATTCTGAATCGAATGAAACCAAAATTGGAAAAAGTATGGCCGTTTTTTCAAAAACATCTGGATTCGTTCGATGCCATTCGATGTAACTCGATAAGGACTACGCATGGTCAGTTTTGCTCGACAATCGACCAAGCCGTTTCATTGTAATTAACAAAAAGATAAAAAAAAATGTTCACATTTTTGCCTATAACCTTGAATTGATTTTAATAATTAAAAAATTGGTTGAATGATATTGGTTGGGAATCACGTTGATTAGTTTTTGGTAATGATCAGCCGGGTCAGTTTTTTCGACCAGTTTTATGAAACTTTGTATGATAATATGCATAGGCCTTCGATGTGCAGTTGACTTATAAAAATTCACTAAAATTTAGAAGTGCACCCAGAGCTTAAGCGATTCTAATCAGAATATATGAACTTTATGTATATGTAGGCTTTGTGTTACACAAGTAACTACTGATTACAGTTGATGTCTCCACTTAAACAAAATATATTTTTAGAATCCGAAATGAATGAAATAAAATGTGTTAAACAAATTATTTTAATTTATGCAATTACAGATTTTATAAGTATAGTTGAAAGACTTCATTTGGAAATCGCATTGTTTAATTTTTAGTGAAAGCGAAAATTTTATTTTTCACAAAAAAATAGTTGAATATCTATCTTACCTTATTAGCTGAATCTCAATTTTTATTTATTAAGTTGATTATATATACATATCGGAAAGTTAATGCAACTGGCCTTAAGGCAAAATGCTACTTACAACTTAAAACTAGATTTTTTATTCTCCCGCCTGCTAAACTGCCTGCTTTCTGGCATTTAAATAATTTATATTTCATTTTAAATGTCTTTAGAAAAAATCTGATATACCAATTTTGAATTATGGATCTCAAATTTTGAGTAAAAAATAAATTATTTAGATTGGAACCCATCGTATTGCAATTTAAGAAACACCATATTTTAAATTTGTCGCATTCTTTAGAGGACAAAATTATACAAAAGTGCATTTTATAGATTTTAATAAAACGTGTAACTATTTCACCCATTTGTGGATAAAATATTGCCTGTTCAAGGAGCATCTTATTGTTTGATATTATTTTAATGTAGCTCGATTACTTTACAGAATGTTCTTGAAGTATAAAATATGTATGACTTTTTAACGTTCATGAATTTTTATAAAAATGCCATTCATATGATTAAATATTTCAAGCTACTTGTATCTAATTAAACACGAAATATGGAAAGTTCAACGGATATAATACGAGATATTCACAACTATGAGTATAATGTACAATATAAAAAACAGAACAGGTCATTGGAGTAATTTCATAAAAGGCATAAAATTAAATGATAAAACACTTTCTTCAGTAAGTGTTTATAAGCTATGTTCTTTGGTTTATTCAATTTTTTTATGTTTGGGTAAAATTTTTTTATAATAATATAATATTGCAAGTACTTATATTGAAGTAACAAAGGAAAACGTATTGCGTACTTTCAATATCTTTGATTTTACGGTAGCAACATTTGTTTATATTTCTAATATCAACCTTGAAATTTTAAGATATAGCTTAAATCGTAAATGTACATACATAATCATAAAATAAACATAATCACATGGATAATTCATAAAAAAATCTTATATCATAAATCTTAAATCTTTTAAAGTGCATTTTGCCATAAGAAAAAGTAAATTGAATTTACTTATTGTGAATTAATAACATAAATTAATAGCTCAAGTTTTATTTTTAAATAGTAAAATAGATGCCTGTAGGTTTGGAATTTTAGAAAAGATGTTGCAAACCACAAGATGAAAATTTTGAGGATAAAAGACACCAATGATGCGTAATAAAAGTATGTATATATCATTACATTGAATTGTTATTTCTGTCTTGAAATTGCAGAATTTTGGAGTTGAGTTTTGAAACCATGCAGTCATAACCGTGACAAAAATACAGAGATTGACAAAGACAAAATAGTCAGCATTTTTGTTCTTAATAAAATTTAGAATTAAGTACAAACTATATATTAGACCAGCGTATTGTTAAAATGTTATGGATACACAAATTAGGGGCCGATTCTAGCGTAAAATAGACCAATGTTATGGCTAGGCTATGTTATTACGCAATTTTCATATAAAATAGTACTAAAAACTATCAAAATCCAATGTAGTTGCTATTTTATATAGAAAACATAACCTAGAAAACGGACAAATATCAAAAACCGATGTTATCATAACTGGATCCTTTGGATATGGCTTGATAACATATGAGTGAAGTTGCATTTAAGTGTGAAACGTCTGATCGCACGCAAATACATGGCATTTTGACAGTATTTAGTACCATTTTGTATGAAAACTGGAACGTAAAACAGTCTTGCACCAACATTGGTCTAATTTACGGCAGAATCGGTCCATAAAGTTTTTAAGTTAATATATACGTTAAGGGCGTCGACTAAATTTAATGTAAAAATTATTTAATAGATATTGGAAACCGGGGGGGTAACAACTACTATAATGTGATATTTTTAAAAGCAAAGGGTAGGTCGATTAAATTGACGGTGAAAATTACTCGAGTAATGTTAAGAAAATGGTAATAATAGTTAAATACGAAATGATATTTCTAAAAGCAACAGATAGCATAATTTTATTCCTACTCAAAGTAACAAAAATGCAACTTTTTAATAATTTAGTTAAGTTGCTTAGTCCTTTTTGTTTTATGCTATTGAAAAAATGTCATCTTAGACTAGAAGACAAGAAATCCTTATTATTAGATTCTTTTATAAGCCAGCTCTTTGGCTATTTAGATTATATATATATATATATACATACATATATATATATATATATATATATATATATATATATATATATATTTCACGGCATCAATAGGCAGTGAAAGTGTTCTATTACAAAATATTCAACGTAATGCGCACGGACACATTCTGAGTTATGTACAAATACGTGAATATTAGTATTGTATGAGTGACTTTCTCAATTATAATATATAAAATTTATATTCATATTGGTAAAAGTATTGTTAGTGTATCCTTGGTTTTGTGTATATAGGTACTTTTGTAAAATCTTATTTCTGTGCACATAAATACCAGGGGCAAAAATGACCGCGTTGTAAGCCGTTGTAATTTGTAATAAGAAGAGTAATGAGAACCACTTAA